CGGCACACTAGTGTGCCGCGGCACAGTGGTTGAAAAACACTGATCTAGATGAATCCTGCAGGGTGGAAACGTTACTTAATAACTACAATTGAAGGCTAAGAGCCAGTGGTGCGAAACAGGCAAATTAGTGAATACTTGACATATTACACAAAAGGCAAATTTAGACATTTGTGATATGGCTTCTAGAAAAAAGTTCTGAGACCAATTAAAATTAACAGATGAAGGTGCTTAATAGTAATAGCACTTACATTATATACTGCTTTACAGCCCTTTCTGAGTGGTTTACAGAGTCAGCATATTGCCCACAACGATCTGGGTCCTCATTTTACCCACCTCAGAAGAATGGAAGGCTGAGTCAACCTTGAGTCTGGTGAGATTTGAACTGCCAAATTGAAGGCAGCCAGCAGGCAGCAGAAGTAGCCTGCAGTACTGCACTTTAACCACTGCGCCGTGGCTCATATCTAATATCTAAAGCAACTGTGTTCAAGTGTATAGCTGAAACTTGAACCAAGAGAATATCTATTAGGTATTCAGAAGATTTCAAATTTTATCTATATGCTCAAAGATATTTTAGATATTACTTAATAATATTAGATATTATAAAGAAAAAAATGGAACTTGCACAATACTAATCCTGAAATCTCAAACCGGTTTGAAAAGTTACCTGGTGTTTTGTTCCAGTAAGTGTTTGACATTTTTAAACTCTTCACTTGCCACATCTAGAGCATCAATCCTGCATCTCAAAGTCCGATACTTAGAAAGGGATGATGTGTTAAGAACTGACATGTTTATTTCACTAATATTCAGCATATCTCTAATCAGCTGTAAAAGCAAGATGGAATCCAAAGTTGTTACATTTCTTTGACAAAGAAAAGCCTACTTATCAATTCATTAAAATATTTGTTCCACTCTTTGCCCTTAGAAAACCAAAAAGTATGAAGTAAGGCAGTGTGGCTTCTTGGAGTCTTCAGAATATTATCAGTAAAAGACCCTTACAATTATGATTTTAGAGCTCTGTGATATAGGCAGAAGTAATGAAATAGATTCCTTTTAATAAATCAATGGACCAGAATCTTAAAGAATGCTAAATTAATGGTCCACTTTTTAATGGTATAATTCACCTAAAAACCATTTTTATCTCTACCTGATGTCCCATGGAATGTATAATAACTGCAGTTTCAACTTGTGTATGTTGGAAGTTAAAATATGGGAATATATGACTTATAGTATTTTTCAGACTCTTAGAGGCACCTGAGTATAAGATGCACCATGATTTTAAAGAGGTAATTTTTTAAAAAAAAGTTTTTGCACTCTACAGGTCTCCCAAACCCTCTGCACGCCTCATTTTTTGCAAAAAAAAAGAAAGAGCAGGCAGAGCTTTGGAAGGCTTGTAGAGTGCTCCTGGGTGCTGGGCCAAAAATGGCCCATTTTCTGCTCTTTTTTTGCCCTCCCCAGCCCCCAGGAGCCCTTTGCCAGCCTCCCAAACTCTCTGCACGTCCATTTTTGCAAAGGGGTGGGGTTTCGGTAGGCCAAAAATGCTGCTTCAGTGTACAAGACACACCCAGATTTTCACCCTCTTTTTTGAGGGAAAAAAGGTGCGTCATATAGTCCGAAAAATACGGTATGTTTGGGGTACATTCCTGCAATGACATCGTTTTAGGTTAATGTGAATAAGACTGCAAAGCACCCAGAATTGCTTAAGAAGGACAGTTCTATCAATCTTTTTTTTAAAGTAAGGTATTGGAAAAATACAGGTTAGCAATGTGACTGTAATATTAAATTACTCCTGCAAAATTTGGAACCAAACAAAATCTAAACATGAACCACCATGGAATAAAAGCTCACCCCTTTTTGAGTGTTAAAGGAATGGGCTTCAATCACATTGTTGCAAGCCACCATCCTGAGATTTTTTTAATCTCCTAGGACCGTGATAGCAAACCTATGGCACACATGCCTGAAGTGGCATGCGGAGCCATGTCACCTGGCATGTGCGTCATCCATTCCTCTTCCGGGTTTCTGGCACACATGCGCATGCGATGATCAGCTGGCCTTCGTGCGTGTGGCAGTGCCGGAAATTGGAAGAGCTGGTCTTCCATTTTCTGGTGTGAGCATGCGCGCCAGTCGATTGTTGCATGTGCATGTGTGCCAGTAACCAAGACTAGCTGGCTGGTGCGCATAAACACACCAGAAACCAGACATTCATTTTCCAGTGTGCGCATGCCCCCTGTGGCCCCGACGAGCGTGTATATGTGCTCCCTTTTCAGCACTCGGTGCCGAAAAGGTTCACCATCACTGTCCTAGGACATCACTGATGTGTACAGCAGCTTTGATTGTCTCATTCCAACTGAAAAAATCCTATGGTACTTGATTGAAAACCCTGAATTGCAGACATGTTTGCATTTGTTACATTTTTAAAAAAATCTATGTCTTGAAAAATCTGAATAATATGATTCCATGCAATCAAATTATAACTCATTCTATTGAAGAACGATCTTTTTGTTTGTTTCTTACTCATTTATGTGTCCTGCTGTCTGCAATTCTTTTATTTTTATATCCCTTTGTTTTGGGTGTTTATTTCTAAACTGTTCGATTACAGATTAAAATCAACTTTATAAAGCGATCAGCAAATGCTGGCACTAGCTGATGTTCAATCAAGTATCCTAACTTGAAACCCAATACTCACCAGCTGCAATTTCAACAACATAAGGCACAAAGGAATGTCTCCTTAAGAGACAAACTTCTCCAACCTGATATATATTGCAGATAAATATATCTGCAAACCTTACAGTTCCTAGCCATTGGCCATTCCTCACAGAGGGACCACTATAAAACTCAAACAATAAATATTTTTGAGAGTTGTCATTCAACTCATGATCTCAATATCTCAAGTGATTTTTTTAATTTCTTTTTGTGATTTTGTCTAAGAGACAGCCATTTTGGAATATCCTTCAAACATAAGATCATATTTGCAATTTAACTGTTGTGGGATCTATTATATTAGTGATTGTTCTCATATATAGGAGGCATTGAAAAGTTGAATGAAGCCTGATACAGTTACCTGACAGAGGTCCCGTTTAGTATATATCAAGTTTTTGCTAACATCATCATCCAAAACCTTTTTGTGGGGTATGATTTTATAGAATTCTGTCATGATTGCAGACAGCTTTGTTTGAGATTCTGTTTCTTCATAACACTTCTTTGCCCGAAGAAGAATGCCTTCAGCTCTGCTCACCTTTTAAGGAAATATTGTATTAAAAGGCTTAAAAAAACATTATGACATATAAAAAGAACAAACTGGTGAAATCTCCTGCCATTTTCTGAACTTCCCTTCACAAAGCCTCTCACAGATTTCTGAACTTCTATGCACCTAATCGTATGTTGTCAGAGAAAAATAATTTTTATTACTAGTAATGGATAGTCACATCCTAACTTGATCTTTTAGAATACTAAAACACAATTCTACCACAATATAGTTCAGACTGCTGGATATGCTTTTCAAATATATCTGGTGCAATGTTGCAGGTGAATTAAGTTCATGTAGCTATATTAGGTATGTAAGTTGTGGTGCTGCAGAGGTGGGTTCCTACCAGTTCGGCGGCCTGGGTCCCTGGCATCGGCAGCGACCCAAGCCTGTCACGTCCCTGAACCGGTTCTCCTAGGGGGGACACAATCTTGATTTTCGGTTCTGTGCATGCTCAGAACAATTTTTGCAAAATTGTAATTGCCCAAATGTAATTTTTTTCCTTTTTTTTACATTTTTGTGCATGCGCAGACCTATATTTGTGCAAATGTGTATGTATTTTTTGTGTGCAACAAACCAGAAGTAATGCCGGGAGCAACCCACCCCTGTGGTGTGGCACTAGCCAGATCTATGGATTTCAGCCTCTAAAATTCAGTATCAGCACAATCATTGCTTGGGATTCTAAGGGAAAAGCTGACAGAACCCATAATGACCAATCTCCACCAAGAAGAGTAGAGAAGTTACTGGACTGGAAAGACCTGGGTCCAAGTTCCCATTTGACCACAAAACTGACTGGATAATTTTCAAGCAGTCACTCTCTTTGAACTGTGAGAGTAAAAAAAATGGATAATGAATCCCCAAGTACCATGCCTTGAGTTCCCAAAGAACCTTGGTTGTTAAGTGCCACAAAGTAAAACAAGACATCACTTGAGGGCAACATCTGCACACATTCAACAGCCACATAATTTAGTAATTTTACATACAATAGTATGTGTGCTTTAATAAGGAACAGACAGATAATAATTTATGCATTAATCATGACATATTAATCCCAACTGTGGGGAAACTTTTCACAATTTAAAAGATAAAAAAATATGTTTGCCTAACATTTCATTTCTGTTCAGGGAGGTCAAACTCAAGGTCCCAGGGCCGGATTAGGGGTGCTTAGATCTGGCCCGTGGGGCCGCCCTGGAAATAGAGAAAGACTGGCCTCAGGTGCCTCTGCCAGTGAAAATGGAGCTCGGGGAGGAGGGGCGCACATGGCAGGAGACCGTTGCAGCCAAAATGGAGCTCGGAAGTCCGTTTTCGCTGGCAGAGTGCTTGGGTCACCATAGGTGCCCCCAATACAAGTGACATCATGCTGGCCACGCTCACCCTGGCCCTCCGAGTTCAAACACAACCTTAATGCAGCCCTCAGTGAAATTGAGTTTGATACCCTGCTCTATAAGAACTAATATTTTCGAGCGAAGTTGCATACATCATTGAGGCTGATTCTTGTTACGGGTTTATCTAGCAGACCATCCAGGTGTCCAACTGCTTCGGTCCAGATAAGTTCCACAAACCTACCAACTTCTTCAGACAAAACACTGGAACTGGCTGCATCTGCTATAAGCCTCTGTAAATAAAGAATTAGAACTAAGTTGCTAAAAAACAATCAGCAACAAAAGAAAGTTAAAAAGAAAGCCAGTTCACTAATTAACAATGCAGGTATTGGTTGCATTCAGGATAAATTACACAATATATTTAAAATATTAAAAAATTATGACAAAAATCCATTTATTTCTACTTTTAATCTCAAATGCATTTTACAAATATGTTTAAAATTTCTGAAACAGAGCTAAACATAGCTTATCATTTTTTTAAAATATCTATTTTTATTTGCAGTATTAGTAAGGTACAACCCACAAGCATAATAGTGCCAGTGAGATATGCTGCTTATGGCTGAGGAACTGCTTGTGCTATGACACAAACCACTACATATAGAAGGGATGTGAAATGCTGTGGATCTGATTTCAAATGACAACTCTGTTGGATGTCACCTCTAAATTAATTAATTAATTGGATGTCACCTCTAAATTAATTAAATGAATAACTGAATAGCAGTGTCTTCTTGACGTGTTTCTTTTCCTTTCTGTGCGTGACTAGGAAGACACTGCTTTAGGATGACCTAGGCTAATTCTGGCAACTAAAAAGAAACAATTGCTATGAAAAAAAAACTATTTGCATTTTGCTTTACATAAAAAACCAGCACAATGAAATCTGAGCCTTGGAAATCTTTAAAGTCTTCCTCATTTCATGAAACTCTTAAATAAGAAAGTTTAAAAAACATACTAACCTCTTGTAATTTTTCTGATGCTAAATATTCTGCTTGATATGGAAAGTCTTTTCTTAATTCAAAACCCATCTTCTTTAAATCTTGAATAGAAAGGGCATAGAGTCTTCTAGCTTCTTCAGAGGTCTTAGCTGGCATCAGTCGTTTTTGTTTCTAAAAAAAAAGGATGCTGTTAAAATTATTAATTTAAAAATCAGGGGGGAAAGTTCATAGAAGACCCATTATTCCGCTTATGGCATTATGTAAAAGGATGTCATTTTGAAAGGAATATGCATGCTTCAAATCTGTGTTTCTAAACTTCTGTCACAGTTATGCACTTGAGAATAGTAATTCTCTTGACAAATCTAGTTATTGACACAGAATACTTATAACCTACAAGAATACTTATAACCTACAAGAAAGTAGCTGGGAAGTGGTGAGGGGTGGAGCAGCTAATACTAACGGCTTCTTAGCAAATGGGTGCCTGCACGACCACCTTCTCCAACCTGAATCAGCTTGAACTATTAGGTAAGCCAAGAAGAAATTGTTCTCATTGTCCTACTACCAGGAATTGGTGGGAGCTGAAGAGATAAAGAAGTTTTATCATGGATGTTTTAATGTTTCTCTATGACATTAATCTGCCAAGAATCATTTAGATCAGGGGTGTCAAACTGGCAGCCCATGTGCCGGATGCATCACGCGCAGGCCACGCCCACCCCAGCTCAACAAAAGGGGTAAAAAACCATCACGGGGCGTCACATGACGGCAACAAGATGTGGCGAGTTTGACACCCATGATTTAGATGGTAAGACAGAAACAGAATGAATAGATAAATATTGGCTTGTCATAACAATGAGTGCTGCAGTTACTGCTTTAACCAAATCCCCCACTTCTGCAGAAACATTTTGTGGATAAAGGAAGTCGAATTGGTTCAAAAGTTGAACATTTTGCAGCTGGAGAAAATTGAAGTCAGATTATTATGACGAATTAAAGAAGCATAATTATAAACTGAAACACAAATTTACAATAATACCTAGGATCATTCAGTGTGGATTAGAGACCTACATGGATAAGAAGATGTTAGATATCCAGGATAGCTATAGAAAAGATTGAGGAACATTGCTGATGCATGTTAGATAATTGAGAAAGGAGGAGAGGAGAGGAGAGAGGAGAGGAGAGGTAATTGATTATGGAAGGACCTTTGATTGTGTTGACCATGTCAAGCTATGAACTATCCTCAGAAAAATTGGAAGACATGTTCAGGAAAAGAAGCCATGTCAAGGGCTACCTCTACTAGGATAACCAGTAATATGATTTTTTTAAAAATTATACTTAACTATATTAATAACTAAAACTACTAATCCTTTAAAGATAATAATAGAGCAATATAAAATTTTGATCTAAAACAATAAACATTCAATAGCATTCAAGATAATAAAAAAGCTAATACAAAAAAGCTAATACATCCAAACTTACTGGGCGTCCTTCCAGCATGCTGTAATGTGCTCTTATACAAAATGGGTAACTGAATTCATGCTGAAAGCATTGCATTTCAAGAACAACATATTCACCATGTGCTGAAATCTGAAAAAAAGGCATTATAATTAAATGTATTCGGTTACAGCAATACAAGTAAGGACAAAAATTAAACCAGAAATTAGTTTAACTTATTGATATATTAAATATATTAAGTTCAGTCAATGTAGTTATTCCTAAATATTTATTTTTCTTCTATTATATTAAGAATATTTAGTGGCAACTTTACAGAAATAACTAGAATAACTATATTTTTAATGGCAAGCAAAAATCAGTGGCTTAATACATTTAAAATACATTTATAGATTGAAAATTATGCATGTATGGTTTGCTTTTGTGTTCCTGTACAAATAAACACATAACTTGTATAAGTTATGTGTTTATGTGTACTTTATGTTAGGAAGGACATTAACAAAGAAAAATTACCTTTTCAAGGATGTCATATTTTGCAAGCTCAAACTCTTTAGGAAAATTTGGAACATATTCATCATTATTTGAATACCATCTGGAACAAAAGAAAATGTCATTCTTATTTGTTGCTGAATATGGATAAGACCTTTGGAAATAATCAGAAGGCTAATGGAAATAATGAGGTGTAACATTTCCAAAGCCAATGACAGAGTGTTCTAGTGCTACTCTCCAAAACTGTGCTTTATGTTGTGAGGGTTAGATAGTGAAGTTGATTTTGCTCAGGCTCAACTGTGGTAAGCTTTCAATTTATGACTGGAGACACAAGAGATCTGCCAAGCTGCGAAATGGGGCATTTTCTGCTGACCAGAGCTCACATCAATTCCAACTTCCAGGATCTTTCATTCTCTCCATTCTCCATAGCAATGAAGCCCTAAACTTCCATGGTAATCCCGGTACACAGGAAATCCTCGACTTACGACCACAATTGAGCCCAAAATTTATGTTGTTAAGTAAGACATTTATTATGTGAATTTTTGCTCCAATTTATGACCTTTCTTGCCACAGTTGTTAAGTGAATTACGGCAGTTGTTAAGTTAGTAACATGGTTGTTAAGTGAATCTGGCTTCCCCATTGATTTTGCTTCTCAAAAGATTGTAAAAAGAGATCCCATGACCTTGGGACACAGCAACGGTCATAGGTATGAACCAGTCACCAAGCATCTGAATTTTGATCACATGATCATGGAGATGCTACAAAGGCTGTAAGTGTAGAAAAATGGTCATGAGTAACTTTTTTCAGTGTCATTGTAACTTTGAACGGTCACTAAATGAACTGTTGTAAGTTGAGGACCACCTGTAATAGGCTTCGTTTTGTAGCTAATTATCCACACTTCTAAAAACCAGTCTGTTACAATAATAATTGTGATGCAAATCAAGGGGGGGGGGAGAAAGATCATAGTCATTTCTAACAATTTAACACTTCCTTATTGGTTATATTTTTGTGCATCGCCCAGAATTGTTCGGAATCAGGCAACACACAAGCTTAACAACAACAATGATAACAACATGGGGAAAGCTTTTTGGCTTTCGTCAGCTTATCAGAATACTCCCAATGGCTGAGAGAGGATATTTAATTATCCATTTGGCACCCTCCATTATTTTACTTCAATACCCACGATCCCCAGTTAGCATGAAATCTAATATATCTTGAGAATACTGGGTACAATCATAAATATAATAAATATCCTAGTCTTGATCCCTTCCACTGATCCCTTCCAGTTTGTACTAATCCTGCAGCACTACCATTTTTAAATATTCTGATAGCACTTACTACTGCTCTTTCATCCATTTTTGGACACTAATATTTAAACTTTATTTTGTTTTTACTCTAATAGTTTCAATATATTTCCATACAAATATCTAAAATACTCCTTCCAGCATTTCCAATGTCACTTTTTAAAATTCCCATCCAATCTTCTGGAAGCTCATTTACTTTTTCCAAAGCACTGTTTGATGTTTAATTTCCATAAAAATCACTTTGCATTTTCTCTGCCTCTTTGAATTGTAACTATGCCTTTTTCTTTGTATTTACATTCTTTGTAAATATCTCTTCTAGTTTATATAGTTATATTGCACCTTTCCCTCATCCTTATTTTTTGCAACAAGCATTCTCTTAGATGTATTACATCATCAAATTAGTCTTACATTTTATATGGCCTTTTGCTGCTAAAAAAAGGTTAACAATAAACATACTAGAATATTCTGCATATAATGCACTGAACTCTTCTAACCTCAAAAGATTTCTCTGAAGAACAAGGTTTCATTTCAAAACAAACATGAAACATAAAGGAATTACCTTAGTTTTTCTAAGTTTCTGCTGTCATCCCATTTATGCTTGTGATTCTCTTCAGAAACGTCTTTTTCCTTAGGGCTGTCATCGGCATTCTTTAAGGTCGTCTCCGTATCTATTTGTCATACAATATTTACTTTATATCTATTAGTTTGAACGAGTACATAAGAAATATAACCAGAAGATGCTCTGAAACCTTAGGAAGATGGATTACTGGGGCCAGTCTTAACATCTGGCAGAGTAAGGCAGCATTTCAGCCACAAACCACACCAATATTTTCTCTGATGTAAAGTTATTTTGGACTTTTCATGCAGAGAATAGGGTGCTTATGATGCTGCTGTGATAGTGAAGGGTGCCTATATGATGTTTTGCTTCTTGTGGCAAAATGTCTTAGACCGGGAAGATTTTATTGAAATTCTAACTTCATAAGGTAAAGTTCCCCTCGCACATATGTGCTAGTCATTCCCGACTCTAGAGGCTGGTGCTCATCTCCATTTCAAAGCTGAAGAGCCAGCGCTGTCCGAAGACATCTCCGTGGTCATGTGGTCAGCATGACTAAACATCGAAGGCACACAGAATGCTTTTACCTTCCCACCAAAAGTAGTTCCTATTTTTCTACTTGCATTTTTATGTGCTTTTGAATTGCTAGGTTGGCAGAAGCTGGGACAAGTAACAGGAGCTCACTCCATTACATGGCGCTAGGGATTCAAACCACCAAACTGCCAACCTTTCTGATCGACAAACTCAGCATCTTAGCCACTGAGCCACCACATCCCTTCATATCCTCATATGAAGTAATGAGGAGAAGATTACCTACCTGCCATATAGTTCAGTACAGTAATGGTATTCTATTCTCTTCACTACCGGTTCAATAGCGGGAGCATGCATACCTGTGATGACGTCAGGGTGGGTGGGTGAAGCCTCACGCTGCCGCCACTACTAGTTTGCCCGAACCGCTGTGAACCAGCAGCATATCACTTCTGGTTCAGTACTTTTAGATTACTGGTATAGATGGAAATTCTTTTAAACGAAATGCATCTAATTCAAACAAAGCTTCCTTACCTGTTTCACAGGGCACCGTTTGGGATAGCTCATAGTTCTCACATTGTAGAAGTCTTCTTTCTTCAATGGAATCCCATATGAAATCAACATTTACCATAGGCAGCTCATATTTCTGGATGGCTTTGAGATGGGTGGGGCTAAGTGCATCAGCATCTTCAGTGACAACATGAGTGCACTAAAATTACATTAAAACCAAATTATCACATGGAGCATAACCCTTACTGACCCATGATTCTACAAAACCAGGTTCCACATGTTATTTTAAACAATTGGATGTACTTTTAACATACTTTCTTTCTCACTAATGATCTGTTTAATAATTTACAGGATTTTTAATGCATCTCTTTAGCTGTCTGTTTCTTAGAAGTAAATCCCCCCCTTTGAAGGTTTTTTACCAAGGTATTCAGGTGATTCACCTTTGTTTTCTCCTCCCCGGTCTTGGGACAAATTTATTTATCCAAAAACACAGGTTTTAAATTGCAGCTTTTCTAATAGATGTCCTTATTTAAAAATCAAAACACACGTTCATGTGTATCAAAACAGCTGATTCATAGCGTCAATAACTTTTTTTAAAACAGGTAGAATACAAAGAGATTTTACATTTCCTATGGAACTCTTACAAAAATTCAAATTTCTTCATTTCTGTAACAGTAAATCATGTGGTGTGCTATTATACCAGAACAGGCTGAGTTCTGTTTTCCCTTGCTGCCTACAATTTTAGATACTGCAGCCTTGACATCGCGGAAAAAGTAAGTTGTTGTCTGTGACATAAAATCTACTCTATAACATATAATCAAGGAGAGAAGCAACTTAGAACTGAGGAGAAATTTCCTGACAGTTAGAACAATTAATCAGTGGAACAACTTGCCTCCAGAAGTTGTGAATGCCTCAACACTGGAAGTCTTTAAGAAGATGTTGGATAGCCATTTGTCTTAAACGGTATAGAGTTTCCTGCCTAGGTAGGGGGTTGGACTAGAAGACCTCCCAGGTCCCTTCCAACTCTGCTATTGTATTGTATTGTATTGTATTAAACATACCTCTTGATTTAATCCAAATGCAATCTGCCCACCATTTTCCTTAATCGATGTCTTCAGTCTGTTCTTTTCTAGAATTGTTAACTTTCTGATTCTCAGAAAGAACGTACAGCCAGCAAAAATTGCAATCGTCATCCTGCAAAGCAAATTTCAAATCAGAATAGTTCCAGCAAGGTGTTTTTTTTTTAATTACTTTGGGCCATGGTGACTTGGATTTGCAATGCTAATCTGAGTGAGCATGCCCAGGAAGGGAAAGCTTCAATATCTACTCAATACATGTTTACAATATGGCTGGCTTCACGATCAGCATTAGTTACAGTCAATGACCCAGAATGCATGAAACATATATATAAATAAAATAAACATCTGATTTCAAGTTCAACCAGATGCATAAAATGTTTGCAACTACAGCTACAATATTACATAATGAATAGAAATGATGACTGAGCGAAATTTGGTTATCCTTCTGAACATTAGTAAAAATTAAGATAGACTATAGGAGTCCTCAACTTACACCTGTTCATTTAGTGACCGTTCAAAGTTATATCAGCCCTGAAAAAAGTGACTTATGATCATTTTTCACACTTAGGATGGTTACAGCGTCCCTATGTTCACATGATTTACATTCGGATGCTTGACAACTGGTTCATGTTTATGACGGTTGCAATGTCCTGGAGGCATGTGATCTCCTGCGCATGTGTGCACGAACCCCCCCCCCCCTCAAAGGCTCTGGAGGCTTTCCTGAAGCCTGGGGAAGGCAAAAGCGGCCTCCCCCACCCCTCCCTGGAGGCCTTCCGGAAGCCAGAAACAGATCATTCACGAACATCCAGCTGGCCAGTTGGGGCCATTTTTTTGCCCTCCCCAACCTTTGGAACTTTCCTGAAGCCTGGGGAGGGCGAAAACTTTCTCCCCCGGCCCTCCAGATGAGTGAAATATCAGCTGGTCGGCACACACCTGCACGCTGGAGCTGACAGCTGGTGTGCCCCCAAATATGGCGCCAGGTGACCACATGCCCTAGGTTCCCCCATCACGGGCCTAGACTGTTATCATGGTTTGGTGTTCTTTTTATAGCTTTATAGTTTTACTTTTCAGATTCTATTGTTATATAATGATTTGTATCTTACTAGCAGGTGGGAGGAATAAATGAATGAATTGATTCCATTTCCAGAGAGTTAAAAAATAAATTTAACATAACAACAACAGTAAAAGAACAAAAGAAAATGCGAAAGTACATTAAAATATAGAGTCAAGATGGCTCAGTGGTTAGAGTGCAGTACTGCCAGCTATTTCAGCTGACTGCTAACTGCAGTTCAGCAGTTTCAATCTCACCAGGCTCAAGGTTCACTCAGCCTTCCATCCTTCCGAGGTGGGTAAAATGAGGACCCAGATTGTTGGGGGCAACATGGTGACTCTCTAAAACACTTAGAGAGGGGCTGTAAAAGCACTATGAAGCGGTATATAAGTCTAAGTGCTATTGCTAAAATAGAGGTTTGGCTTACACCCTGGGATAAATTAGGATATCATTAACAACAACAAATCTGAACAAGACAATGAGTTATATAATGCGGGTTTCCCTCCCAGCTTTTTGTCATATATGAATCCAACAGAAAAGCTTTAGAAACTTTTGAGGGAAATTAAACAAAATTAGATTGTTCAATTTCTACAGTAGATAATATTCCCTTCCCAATATTGCTACTTAAAAAACAACTATTTCTAATATGTCTGTGTCAATTTTAGTTCCAATGTCCACTAAAGCAGTTTATATGCAAATTTGAAATCTAAATTACTGAAATATCTATGCACTGAGTTATTGGGGGAGAAAGCAGTTTAAAACATTCTACAGTCCAGAAGAGAATGTCTAACAAGTTAAGCAATCTGTATTAGTTAGCAACAATATCAATCTGAAATCCAGTACATTTCAACAGTGCACTAAAATAATTTCAAGAGTCATTTAAAATCTGATTAATAAGAGCAAACATTACACACCTTAGGACAAAGTTCCATAAGTGCATTCTCCCATCTTTAGAATTCAGTTATTGGTCAGATTTTCAAATCTCTAAGTTTCTTTGGCACAATGCCTAGAGGGCCAATCACTACTAATTCTAGTGTCACTTATTTTGAGTAATCATACTATATTATTTCTGAAACCAAATCTATCTACTCAGAAGAATGAATGGAAGACTGTACTTTAAGGTAAATGTGTAATCTTTAGGATTGCTACCAGAAGGAGAAAAAACTATAGATAAAAATATCCCAGATTTCACTTTAAGGAACATTTTACTATGAAACACTATATGGTTTAATTTGGTCCACCTCAATGTTTTGTTAGCATACAAAATACTATCATGTTACCATACCTGTGCCAATAACTAAAGTACTTAAGGGGAGGAAGAAAGGGAAAGTGGATGTTTCACTAACACTTAACAGTGTTTTTCACACACAATGAAGCCCTCAGCCAAACTTAATTTAGTGTCATTTTGTAAAGAAAATTTTTTGTGGGCTGTGTGAGCATATACAATAGAACAGTTCAAAGCTCATTATAACATTATTACGCATTTATGTTAACTAAAGTTATACAAAAATTAGTGTTATGCAAAATCAGGTATTCTAATTTAATTATTGAAAAAGGCTACAGTGGATTAATACAAACATAAAAATACATAATATTCTAGAGGCAAAATAAATGTTGCCCCTGAGGAATTCATTTTATGTTTTGTGGTTCATAATTAAATATATTTGTTGCAGTGACACTGCAGTATGTATAGTATGTTTTTCAATGTAGGTAACAGGCATGAATATTATTTAGTATACTAAAGATGTGCATCTTAATCAGAATATGAATGAAATTCATATTCGTTTTATTTATGATTCACATGGTCAAATAGTTTATTAGGGAGAGTTTCTAGCAACTAACTAGAAGAAAAACCAACACAATCCGAAAGGGAACAAGATCCTTTCACCTTATGTAGTGTTGTTCCCAGTCTTAATTAGTTCCTTTAACGCCCATAAATCATGCATCCATTGTGCATTAACTTTCCTCTGCCTGGTACTGTAAAATTGCTGCTTATCATTCCACTATTGAAGACACAGTTACAGTAGCAAAATTATCAAACAAAACATCACGTTTCAGCCAATTATGAGACTCAGAATACCGTTCCTCTTTATCGGGATTCATCTGAAAATCCAAACCACGGTGAGATTTAAAAGTCTACTTGCCTGCTGGCTGCTTTATTCCAATTTCGCAGCAAAGACTTCCTGGTTCCTTATACCTCAAGGGAAGTTCAAACCAAGTTTCCAAAGGGAGGGCGCTGGTTCACTCAGCTTTACGGAAGCGAAGCCACCAATAAAATTGTTCCAGGCGAATCAACAGCAAGCGGGGCGGGGGGGGGGGGGAGGGGGTGCGGCCTCTCATGGATATTTCATTTTTCCTATCCTGTAAAGCCTGGGTGGGGGACGGGGACGGGACGGGACGGACGGACGGAAATTTATGGCAAAATTAACACATTTGTCAGATCATCCATTCTCTGATAATTTTATCCTTAATTAGCTGCATTAATGGAAGCTAATTTGTTGCGAGACGGTTTAGTAGAAGAGAAAAATGCAAGTTAAAAATAGTCCACGAGAATTTCCTAAAATGATGTGCATTTAGCTCTTCAAGAGCAAACCCTAAAAAAACTGGATGAATCATCTGGCTTAATTTTTAGACTTCTTGATTACTACTACTACTACTACTACTACTACTACTACTACTACTACTACTACTACATCATCGTCGTCATCATCATCATCATCATCATCATAATCTACTACGTCTACTACTACATCTACTTCTTCTCCAGTCTCCTCCTCCTCCTCTTTGGATATCTTACATTTTAATGAAAGCATGAAGATTTACCAATAGTAAAATACTTCATACAAGTGACACATTACTCTGATAATTTTCACATGTTCTGGATTTGTATGATACACAGATCTACAAAAACCATCTAAGTTTACTTCAAACAATACCATAAGGTGAAATGCAGCTGGTTACATTTGTGGTACTCTGTAGAGGATACTCCAACATAGCCATAGTATTAAATTGAATTTTGTTCGGTTGAAAGAAATGTCCTTCTGGGTTCGACTCCAAGTGGGGAAAAAGACACCGGAGACATGGAGGCTGCTTGGAAAGATGGTTTATTGGTGGACAGGACCACATGGCTTGAGTCCTGAACATAAAAAGTGATCACATGCTTCAATGTTGGTGAAGAAGAAGAGAAGGGCTGAAGGAGGGGCTTGCTAGGCTTTTTATACCCTGTTTAGTCCCACCTCTCTGTTTCCTGTTCCTGTGTAAGAAATGTATTCTGATTGGTTGTCAGACTCCCATGGGGCCGTGCAGGGGCTACTCTCTAGGCTGTGATGAGTTCTCAGATTCCTTGTGGTCAGTTGAGTAAAGTTCCAACATTATCATGCCTTTACTCCCCTCCCCCCTGGGGCTGCAGTGGAGAGGTCTTTATTATGTAAAGTGGACTAGCCTGGCCCATTAACAGTGGGGATGGGCAGAAAGCTACAGGAAACTATTCTGTTTTTAAAACATGTTTCTTTCTCCTCACATCTAGAGAAATATTCTGCCTTTCAATATTTCTTAGGATATTTAATTTTTCTGGGAGAGGGCTGGATGATAACTTCCCACAGTTCAATCTGTGAAAAATCTCCCAGGGGGAATATTAAGAACAATAACAATATTCTGACAATATTACAAATACTTGATTGTTTGTATTAAGGTACCATTTTGAACAGATTTCAAAGATTTAAATTTCCAGTTCTAAATTGAAAATATCCAGATGACCAAGAGATTGCAGCAAAGAAAACTCTTGCTGCCATCTAATGATTCTCTGGAGTTTTTTTAATGGAGATTTGAGGGGCACATAAAGCAGACTGAACCTTGAACCAGCAGAAGCATGATTCTGAATAAGGTACTCTTCTGCATTATATTTTATGATTCAAAGAATGAGACTTTTATTTGGATTTTTTAATCATGCCTCTATTACTTTATAATTAACTTAATCTAGCAAACATAAGGTAAATAATGCTTCTTCCTTTTCCTATTGTCCCAACAATTACCTTATGAGATAGGTTGGGTTGAGAGAGAATAACTGGTACAAAGTCATCCAACCAACTTTCATCTCTAAGGTAAGACTAGAATGCAAATCTCCTGCTTTCTAGACTAGCGGTCACCAACCTTTCGGACCTCAGGAACCACTAAATTCAGAATTTTAAATCCCGCAGTCCACTGATATGAATTTTTTAAAAAGGTAAATAGTATTTAGTGCAATATAAAAATCCAAAAAATATATATGCGGACCACCAAAATTTTCTCGTGGACCACAAGTGGTCCACGGACCACCAGTTGGTGACCGCTGTTCTAGACTGGTGCCCTACCCACTACTAGACCAAACTGGTTCTCTGTTTAATTTTTTTCTAAGGGTATACTTGCCAGGTAGAAAGGCAGTGTACAAATCAAATAAGTAGTATTGTTTGGAAAACCATAGTCACTGTATTTTATTTTGTATTATTTTTACCATTATTGTTTACAATTCCCACTGTTGCCTCCAGACTCACTCTTTCATTCATAATCCTCACTGTTGCACTCCAGTTTGGCATGGAACTGATAAGAACTTGATCCCTGACTTTGAGAGACTTTTACTTTTGAAAAAATCTTCTTTCCCGATCAGCAAATATGAATCACCAAGTATCGGTAAGTTAGGCAAAGCAAAAAGCATTTATTAAGGAGATGTCAATAGATGTTTATAGGGTACAGAAACAAATGATACATATATTTGGATGTGTGATACATCAAGAAAGCAAGTGATGAAATAATAAAAGACATTGATTACATGCCACACTTGAACAATAGGAAATGTTGATTCCAGATAACATTCCACAAGTGCAAATGTAGGGGTTGTATTACTTTTCCCCAGCTGGGTTTGTATCTTTCTTAAAACTTGCAAGTCTATTTAAGGACTTTCAGAATACAATCTCTATTTTTTAGTGCAAGTTCTTGCACACTAAAAGAAATTGACTTGGCCAAGAAGAAGAGGAAATGCCCTGTGTTTTCCTGAAGTTAAAAAGAGGTCTAGCTTGCCATGTTAAGCGCTAATGTCACCTTTTAAAACGATAACAATGAAGCCTAAAATTTTAGGCAACATCACAATCCACAGAGCAAAATTATTTTTGCTTTTGAAAGCAACACAGAACTTATTTTCAACCTGACAGACTATCACAATATTTTGCTGTACTTTTTAAAAGCCCTTTTTTTTAACGTTTACATCGCACATTAAAATTATCTCACTTTACAATTTAATAGCGTTGCGATGGTGACTATAGTTACAATAGTGCACGCCTAGAGCTACCCTTCCCTTCAAAGGGAGGGACTCCACCCCTCCCTTTAACTGCCACTAAGTTCGGCCAAGAGCCATGACGTCAAGCAATGTTCTCCGAAACTTGTTGGGAATCGTAGTCAGATACGCCGCAGCCGGCCTGCTTCGTAGAACGGTGCCTTTCCCGGCGGGGAACTACGACTCCCAGAAGGCTCTGCGCTCCCTATTCAGCCTGTGGCGCTGATCGCTTCGAAGGTGGCGGTAGGTTTGTACTTGTAAAGGATCCGACTGTCGGCGCTTTCTGCGGGAAGAGGTTGGACGTCGAGTGAGGTGAGTGTGGCGACTGAGAGGTCGTTGTAGTCTGTTTTTCTTCCGCTGCCGGAATTCCATAAGATGCATCTGTGTTCAGGATTTGAGGACGTGACGGCGAATTCGCTTACTTTTATTTAGATCTCTAGCCCACCTTTTAGGCCAGGGCTCCCCAAACTTGGCGATTTGAAGACTTGTGGACTTCAACTCCCAGAATTCTCCAGCCAGCATTGCTGACTGGAGAATTCTGGGAGTTGAAGTCCACAAGTCTTCAAATCGCCAAGTTTGAAGACCTCCGTTTTAGGCCCTCTCTGGGCGATAAGCCCCGCCGTCACGTTCGTGTTTGCCTCCTGCCTGCCTTCTCCCCTTCTCACACCAGATGAATAGAGTTTTTAATTAAGAAGTCAAAAAGGCCCCAAGGCTACGTAAATGAACACATTGGCATCTTTGGCACAATCCCTGTGTTGGGTCAGGCATTACAATTCCGGACGTCTGCAATAGTGCCATCCAAATGAACGGGGAATAAAATCTCATCTGGATAATTTATGGAGTTGGGGCTCCATTGCCCTTGGAGACACCAGAGTTTAAAAGGGTTATGATTCATTTGGGTGCATATCGAACTTATGGGATGACTCTTGTATTTTATTTTCCCATGTTAAAAACATGCAAATAATCAGAGGTATAAAAATGATGGAGTCAGAAATCCATTTTTTAAAATAAAAAATCCTTTTTTTCTACTTGTTTAATATTTAATTCTTGTCAAATCTGCTTTATTTTCCCTTTCATTCATATGTACTGTGCGTATACACACAATACAATCAACAATTATTAATGATTGTTAGCAAGGACTCAGTTGCAGTGTAGAATGAATGCACCATTTGGGAGACTTGACAGAGTAGATTAAGGATAGGTTGTGATGACGAATATCTAGTTGCTAGGAGTCAAAAACGACTTGATGGTACATAATAAAAACAGTACAAAAGTAATAATGTTACTTTTACTGTTAGGTAATTGGTTTAAGATCAAAACATTATATAACAAATACTTTGATATGAGTTGTAGTGTTTTTTTCAATGCTTTACTCAACTTTAGATGAAAAAGGCAAATAATGTTATGCTTGTAACATTGACATCCTAAACTGTAAATAATTTCTTTTTCTTCTCTTTTCTCAATACTTGTCTAAACTATCTAAATAGTACAATGTTAATTATCTTTAAATTATATAACCATCACTGTTAAAATGACACCTAACAATAAACAAGATTTCTAATAACATAATATAAAGGGGGGAAAGACACTGCAAACTCTGGAGATTTATAAATAAAAAATATTATCACAACCAACACAGAAACTATTTTTAGTTTATGAAAGCTGCCTAAAACAGAATGTGGAACAAGGTTGTGTTGAATTCTGTCAAGGTAATTGTGAAATAAAAAAACAGCAACTGCTGTCTTACACCAACAGGACAGCAATATGGATTACTTGTCTATTTATCATGTGGAATTATCATATTTTCATTTTGTGTTTATATGTTTTTGGTATATGTTTTGTAGATTTTTTATAAATTATTATTTTTAATTGTAAGCCAGTTAGAACTGAAAGATTGGGTGGCATTAAGACACTGTAAA